TTATGTACTCGACCCACTTGGACCAAAAATCAACAAACATATCTTTTTGATTATTCATACAGAAAGTAATTTTCTCCATTATAAACAGACTTTTTACAATATCAATCCAGTCCTGTATTTGTGGCGGATTAGGTGTATGCCAGCATCTAGTAATGGCTTTTTTACTTGAAGCAAGAATTATTCTATACATATATTTGTTTTTCCTTTCCCAAGAGACCATTGATACTGAGCCCATATAAAGTACCTCAAAGCTAAAATCAATTTTAATGTTTAAAATACTTTCTAATACCTTATGTATATCTGTCCAAAAACATTTAATTTTAGGACATCCCCAAAATATATGAAAATGGTTAGCATCCTGTGAACCACAATGTCTCCAACAATTTGAGTTGCCTTGAAAATTATTTTTCTGTTTTGGGGTAAGGAAAAACCTAATAATATTTCTCCAGCAAAATTCTCTCCAATATGGAGAACGGGAAGTTGCCCATTGTTGTTTACATATATTTTTCCAATCCTCGGTTGAGAGGATAATCCCACTTTCTTTCTCCCATCTTTCTTTAATGTATAAGGATGAATCTCCTTTTAAATCCATCAAAGCTCTATAAAGTTTTGTAATAGTCTTAAACATTGCTTCAGCCTTGTAAGCTGAGGAGAATATTTTAACAAGAGCACTCTTATTTGGATCTTCATCAATCCCTTTTTTAATTTTCTGACAAAAATGATAGTTTTTTTACTTTTGAATATTAGTTTTCCGAAATCATTGCGAATTGCAAATTACAGTCAGATCTTATACATTAAGCTTTACTGATAAAATCTCTTAGTGCAGCTGTTAGTGCACTAAGACCCACTGTTGTGACCTGTCTTTCAGATGACCCATGTGTTCCGAAATTACGGGCCAGGCGTCCGCTTCATCAAGTTCACTCATGGAGGACGGGACACCCAGTACTGGGCAGGGTGGTATGGGATCCGGGTCACTAACAGCAGCGTGGAGATTGCCCCCCCTGGGGAAATGGAACCACCTGGGCCATAATAATTATGATGTATTTAATAAATGTTTGCTATATGCGCTTATTGACTTACCCTAAAACTACCTTTTTGTTTTGTGATAAATTGAACTACTACCATAGTTATATAGTGATATAAAAGGAAAACATTTGTTTTTGTCTATATACAGTTGTTCCTTGGTTTGTGAGCATAATTTGTTCTGGAAACGTGCTCGTAATCCAAAGCACTCATATATCAAAGTGAATTTTCCCATTAAAAATAATGGAAACTCAGATGATTCGTTCCACAACCCAAAAATATTAATATAAAAATGATTAATACGAAGTATAAAGTAAAAATACATAAAACAAATTAACCTGCACTTTAACTTTGAAAAGAATCATGGCTGGTGTGAGGGAAACGAGAGAGGAGAGAAGTAGGGTTATTTTGTAGGACGACTTTCACTATAACTAACGGAATCGCTGCTATCTGTTGGTTCACTGGAATCTTTTTCTTTTTGTGCGACTTTAACAAGGAACCTATCCAATGACAGCTGCTTTTGACATTGCATTCTCATTAAACACTGTACTGCTATGCCCTTATTCAGGTGGTGCTTTTCTACTAAATTGTGACTATACGAGTGAGGCAGGCCGACTGAGACCGAGCATGGGGGACGATTACCCACAATCCCGCAACGAGCGAGAGAGAACCACCATCGACTCAGTTGTGATCACGTGATGCTCGGTAGACAAAGTGTATACGTGATACTCGTATTGCAAGACCTTGCACGTTTATCAAGTTAAAATTTATTTGATTTTTTCTCGTCTTGCAAAACATTCGCAGACCAAGTTACTCGCAATCCAAGGTTTTACTGTATAATGTATTGAAGTGTTTCAGAAATCATAAATGTAATTTTATTTTAAAATCATACATAATCTGTTACATAGTAGATCTATCCATTGAATATTGTGTATGCATTTTCTGTACATTGTCTGTCTATGAAAATCACATAACTTTTAATAAAAAGCTTTTGGCTAACAGAGACATTTTATTGTCTTATGCATATTTGGTTCCAGAACCAAATATAAATGTGTTCAGCAGGATACAGTCATGATACAGTGCAATTAATAATTACTACAGGATACAGTGGATGTGTGTTTTGGTTACATTGGCTTACTGGCTGACTGCACTGTGCCAGCTGTAAATTGTGGTGGAGGAGGGATTATGGTATGGGGGTGTTTCTCAGGGGTTGGGCTGGGCCCCTTAGTTCCAGTGAAGGGATACAGCATACCAAGACATTATGGACAATTCTATGCTTCCAACTTTGTGGGGACAGTTTGGGGAAGGCCCTTTTCTGTTCCAGCATGACTGTGCCCCAGTGCACAAAGCAAGGTCCATAAAGACATGGTTGGGTGAGTTTGGTTTAGAAGAACTTGACTGGTCTGCAGAGCCCTGAACTCAATCCTATGGATCACCTTTGGGATGTACTAGAACGGAGAGTGAGAGCCAGGCCTTCATGTCCAACATCAGTGCCTGACCTCACAAATGCTCTTCTGGATGAATGGGCAGAAATTCCCACAGACACTCTCCAAAATCTCGTGGAAAGCCTAAGTAGAAGAGTGGCAGATTATATAAGTTATAGCTGCAAAGGGGGGGACTAACTCCCTGTTGATGCCTATGGATTTAGAATGGGATGTCAGAGTTTCTGTGAGTTAAATGGCCAGGGGTCCCAATACTTTTGTCCATATACAGTGCCTGCCAAAAGTCTTGTCGCTTAACCAAGTTATAGGAACAACAAATAACTTGACCTGTAGTTAGTCAGTTGGAATGAAATAGCTTATAAGAAAAGGCAAAGCCCTCTAGATTATGCTTATACCAAAATAAAGTTTTGCATCATTCATTGAGTTTTGTCATGTAATTAGGACAGAAAGGTCAACTTTTATCTGGACAAAAGTCTTGTCATATACAAAAATAATGTAGAAATTATACATATACTTCATTTAGAATACACAAACATGCTACAATAACATCAGAACATAAAGTCATGGTGCCTTGGGAAAAAAAATTAATAATGTGTATGACTCCCATGAGCTTGGAGGACCACATCCATACGTCTTGGCAATGACTGAAATAACTTGTTGATGAAGTCATCTGGAATGGCAAAGCAGTTTTGCAGGACTCCCAGGGTTCGTCCACATGCTTTGGTTCTGTCTTCCAAGCCTCCTCCTTCATCTTACCCCAGACATGCTCAATAATGTTCATGTCTGGTGACTAGGCT